ATTCCGTAATTAATTAAAATGTATAAGCGAATGAGCTCACGAGAAGCGATAGGACAGGCTCTGTGTATAAAAGAAATGGCTTATTTCTTAGCAACGATGAGTAAACAGATTTCGAGGCGGAATAACGTATACGTGTCGCTTGTTACTCCGCCTCGAAATCAGCTGTTTCTTCATCGTTGCTAAGAGGTAAGCTATTTCTTTTACACACAAAGCCTGTCCTATCGCTTTTCGTGAGCTCATTCGCTTATACATTTTAATTAATTACGGAATAAATATTGTAAAAATTTCAAAATGGTATGTAAATTTTATGATTATTTTGCCCTGTTCTACCTGTACACGGCGGTTGCTTGATCAGTTACTGGACACTCTGTATAGTTTACGTTGTATTCATGTAGATGTAAAATATCATAATTTACGAACAATGGTATGAACAACAACAAAAAATTTGATTTTAATTTTTTATATAACATGGGATATTACTCCGCCATATATTGGAATTTTTATTTGTATAAGTGTTTGAAATTTTATACAACCAAATAAAAAAATTATGCAAAATACAAAATTATATTATGTCAGTATTCTCTTAACATTTAAATATGTAATTTATAACGAAGTATTATACTGTGATGTAATGTTAACTTGACGATATATCATTATTCAAGCGCTGTTTATAAATACGTATACACAATTTACGGTGTACAGTAATATCACATCTTTCTGCGAAACCGCTTCCCACTATTCGATCTAAATTAGGTATCCATCCGCACCTTACACGCAAGCCGCTTGCGCATGAACGGTACAACGGACATAGCATTTATCATTCGCTTAGGGCGCATTCCTCCTCTTTGATACACTTTATTGGTCTAATAGACCCGAATTGTTGGTATAAATCGTATAAAACTGGGTGGATCTGGGCTAGTTGATGATTCTTGCCCGTACACCTTCTACTCCACAATTGCCTGGCATGCCTCAAAACGTTGGTGGATCGACCGTCGCTTATGGATCAGGCCAAGCCAAGCTTTTCGCAGTTAGCATATTAATAACTTTGTTGTATGTATTTTGTATTAAACCTCGAATTTCAAAAAGAGAGAAAACGAAAATCTTATTTCAATCTTATTAGAAAGTATTATAAATCGTAATGTGCTGCATATGTTTGACATATGAATCTATTTCTTTCTTTTCTCTAAATAATCAACAATATTCGATTTTATCGTTGCCAGTGGTTTAAGACTGCTCTTCCGTTTACTATTATACATTTCGGTGTGTAAATACCGCGTGAAACTTTCCACTTTTATTTTTCTTAAAGGAACACATTCGTTGAACGCGATATGGAAAATTAACTGGAATCATTCGTGTGCGCTCGATGCAATGTGTTAAGGGGATATCATACAGGGGATATATAATACAGTACTTTGCACTGTTTTTACATTTGGTTGTATAAAATTACATACTTTTACAAATTGAAGATACAGATGTCAATGTATCTGGAAAGACACGAAAATATTGCATAAAAACGTTCTTTATTATACAAATTAAAAAGAAAAAAATTTGATACATAATCTGGTGTCTTTCCATACATTGACATTTGTATTTTTACTCTGTAAAAGTATTTACAATTCTATACAACAAAATGCATCAAGAGAAAAAAATATCTAAAATACCTTAGCTTTTCATGAAAGCGATTATTTATTTTATTTAAATAAAAAAATGTGTAGATTTAAATAAATATATATTATCAATATCTATAGAATATAAATGTATATTTTACATTTTAGATATTTTCTCTTTTTCAGTGTAGAAATCAATGCAAATTACGAAACTATATCATGTCGGTATCCTTTTAAAGTACTGTATATATATATATATATATATATATATATATATATATATATATATATATATATATATA